GAGCAATAATTTAAAATTTATTTACTTTAACCACGCTCATCTGTCTGAAACAATGACTTTTTCCAACAAACCAGACTCCTCAAAGCTATCAATGACAGGTAACTTACATAACCAACTGATTGTTTCCGCTCTCTCTTTTTAGCAACAGCAAGCTTTTAAAACCTCAGAAATAAACATTTTTCACTAGACTGTTCACATACTGTGGCCTCACCCAAATTCATCGCTTTTTTTGACCCAAACAATTACTTGGAGACAGTTTCTCTTTAGCATCAAAGCAAACTCACAATCATCCTCTCTATTTTCATTATTCCCAACTAGCGCTTTAAAAATTCCACGACCAACTACTAAACTGCGGGACTTCAGCAGGGAACTTTCCAACTCCCAAACCTTCAATTATTTAGAAAAAAAATTAGTAATTCTGGAACGTCATCATTATAATCCTGCCAAATCTCCAACAGTGCCTCTACTGAATTATTCTGTTAGTATCGATGCAACCTAAAAAAGCCACCAAAAAAGCCAAACTATTAGCTGAGAATAAAAATTCATCAGCCCGGAAATCAAAACGAGTAATACCAGATTAAAAAAAAATTAACTATTGTCAAGTATTACCTACAAAAATTTAAAAACATAGAATGGTAACAACAGCTACATCCCCCCGCCCCTAATAAAAAATGATATTACTTCCTACCTATCCAGAAACCACGCTACAAAACCCAAAAACAACTCGTCGCCAAGGTAAAATAACAAAAAAACAAATTTTTAAAATACCAAAAAGTAACTTTATACGAACAAAACAAGTGATTCCCAATAACCATGTTTGTTTTTTATCAGGTAATCGATGATGACTCATGTCAATCATCACCAAGATTAACTACTGCAACTTAATTAGTTACTGTTTAATCTACAAAGGCACACTGCAGAATTTTAATCATTCCCCTTACCAAATACAACTGAATACAGCAAGTTTCGTCAAGCAATAAGAATACAGATTCTTAACCCTTTTTTCCCTCCCTCTCGAAAAAAAAAACAAAAGAATACAATACCTAGTTTCTCAAATGTGTAAAACCAACAAATTTTTTAACATCCCAAAACAAAGACAGTAAAGAATGACCAACCAACGAAGTGAAATAATATCTTATAATTTTTTTTTTTGGAAGAGCCTTTTTACGATCCATACTGACTTAGGTACTCAAGTTACACAAAAACACACAGACACCAGACACCAAACACAACAAACAAAGCACGCACACGATAACGCCTACAGAAATTTACATTGTAAAACTTATCCACAGTGTAGTTACAACAAATGATCGTCTGCCTTAGTAGTTTCAAGAAAAACAAGTAAACAAACAAGTCTCTTCAAAACCACTGACTCCACTAGTAAATATAAAAGTATTTTAACGCACATACATACATACATACATACATACA